GCATTTTTTAGATCAAGGATAGTGATTATTGGGAAAATGTAATCTCACCGTCATCGTCCTTTATCTCCACTTCAACGTCASAGGMCCTGACGCATTTTGGYTTCTCACATTCCAAAACAAGCTTGAATGACTCGTTATCATTTTCATCTTCAGTATCATCAATAATTTCGACAGAGACAGACTGGGAACTATCACGGGACTCGAAGACAACTGGGACGTCAATCGCTTTATAGTCTTTGCCTGCCTCAGCGGTACCATCAGAGCTCTTAAGACTAAAATGTAAAACGTCAGAGTTTWYACAAAAAATACGASCATTTTTATCTTTAGTGGTTTGATATTTTTCGAGAAATATAATTTTTGTCACATTTTGCTATGAATATTTAATTGTGTTATATTTTATAACCTGCAGACATTCTTCCCGTTGCTATTTCCTGATCTCTTMACAACAACATTAACGGTTCCATCGTTTTCTGAAAAGCTGTACTTCTGTTTCTGGAACGTGAAGATGGCTACACAAAAAAGAGAGAAAAACCGTTCAGTTAGAAAAAAACAAGAACCTGGCAATCCATCTGCAAATCATGCCATAGCACTCAGAAACCATGCCTTTCCCTCCAAATTTATGTTCCATACCAATATCGTGTAAACCATGAAAACCGTTAAATATTATCTTCTTATGCTTGTAAATAAAATGACTTCACTTAAGAAACAACTCAGTATTTTTTATACTTAGACACATCCAATTACCTGACTGATCCTTGATAGTAAGAGTGCATGTTCCTTTTCCGTCGYCGACAGTAAGGTCAGCAGCATTAGTAGYAGTGATYACCGCTGTGAAGGTTTCGTCGGGTTCAATGGTATTGTCAGACTTTGCTTTGAATGTGACTGTTACTTCAGTTGCATCCTTGTCAAATTGAATGGTCGGTTGATCGAGGGGATAGTAATCATCGGCGGTAGCTGAGCCTGGGTTCAGGTCAACTCTAACGATTGAAGGCAAGTTAAAAGATAAGAATGGTTGGTTTGTGAATAGATGAAGACCCAGACACAAACGGCATTTCACAAAAAGTTGTTTCGTCGCGGCATTGCTCGACCAATGATCGCCAATCATCGATCAGATTTTTTTAATGAAAGTGATTGATCGATCCTACGAAAAGGGCTATTGTCGTGACGATGAACCAATGTTTGAAAGTGATAACTCACTTGATCGAAGCAGGAATGTTGGTTGTTTCGCTTCTGACAATTTTGACGGTTACAGTTCCTTCGCACTCGTCCAACTCGGCAGTGATCTGGTCCCATCCAACTTTTCCTATAAATGAACATTAAAGTAGTGTTGAACAAAGTGAAAACCTTTTTATGCCCTGCAAGGGTTCTTTGATACCACAGTATCAATGGATTCGATGATGGAAGAATGTGATTGGCCCTCACCTGGACAATGGTGTGTGTTGCAATCTTGCGAAGAAGTGTTGGTGCCCACACAATAAGCTCCTTCTCCTTGTGGTGCTGGGTTGTTGCAGCTGCGAGATCTGGATTGACTTCCTGTGCCACAGGACTTTGAGCAATCCCCGTATTGTCCCCATTCGCCCCACTGGCCGTCGACTAGAAAATACGAGAAGGCGAGAAGAGACGACTTAAATTTGTGTGTTCGCAAAAACATTGGTGTTGTAACGATAAAAGAAATAAGTTTTCAGAGCAACAAGAAGGTCCTTACTATCGTCATCCGTGATTTCCACGTTGGCTTTGTTGACTTTGACACAGTCGGGTTTTTCACAAGTCAACATCAGTCCAAAGTTCTCAGTAGATTCTTGTTTAGCGTCGTCCACGATGACAATGTTCACTGGTATAGAGTTCTTATTTTCCTCAAAGACAATTTTCTGGTCGACTGCAGCATAGTCAGCTGGGGCCTCGGCGGCGTTATCGCCGTCTGTTTTGAAGCTTTTGACTCTGCAGATGACAATGAATCCAGTCAAGAGCAGCAATAAAATACTAATNATTGTTTTGGAAAGAACCATTGTTTTGGAAAGGACTATTGTTTTTGAAAGGACTATTGTTTTGTTTAAAGGACCATTGTTTTGGATAGAACCATTTTTTTGGAAAGAAGCATTGCTTTGGGAAACCGCCATTGTTTTAAGAAAAGATCAATTCTTTTGAAAGGAGCGTTCTTTAACACACTACTTACCGCAGTTTGGGTTGCAGGTCATGGCACAATATGCAATGTTGGCACTGCATTGACCAGATCTCTTGATATCGTCACACTTCTTACAGTCGTAATAGTCCTTACAATGGGCAAAGTATCCTATCCAACAAACACAATGAAGTCAATGTCTTTTTTCTTCTATCTTTTATTCTATGTTGGAGGTTTATTAGAAATAGGTACTCACGGGCATCAATATAACGACTCACGACTTTTTCCTTTTTTTCAGAAACGGATAATAAGAGCCAGGGTAGTCACTAACTGCAATAGACCCCTTGCAGTTCATGGGAATGCAGCTCCAACTGGAGGACAAAACAATGGATTCTAGTTCCCAAGAGGTTAAAAATCTTTTGTTTTGTCCTCCAGATGAAGCTGCTTTGACGTCACATGCAAGGGGTCTATATGACCATTCCAAGGACAGCCCAAATGAGGAAAGAGATTTGGGAAAAAATTGGGAGATTGAATCATGAAACATTTTTTTAAGCAGCCAACGTGCTGAAGCATTGAACATCAAACAAGGCAAAGGTTGAATGATAACTTCTGTTAAAATACATTCAACTCCCATTGTACTGAATGCAAGGACGGCAGTGTTCAAGAAAAGATTCCGTATACTTATGAAAGTGATTATATCATATATTAGAAGATATGAGATGGCAGTACCCCCCACGCCCCTCTCCCCTTTAGAATCATATCAGACTGTTATCAGTACCAACGTCTGCAGGGAGGCTATGATAAAGGAGGCTATGATAAAGGAGGCTATGATAAAGGAGGCTGTGATAAAGGAGGCTGTGATAAAGGGGGCTATGATAAAGGAGGCTAT